AACCAACCTACCTACGAACCAACCAACCTACCTACGAACCAACCAACCTACCAACCTATATTTAAAGGGGTATTTTCTAACAATAGATACACGATGTGTCCAGTTACCTGTGGAATGGGTTTTCCATATCTGATACTGGAGGGCAGCAGCACTGGTTCTTCTATCCTGTTGTCCCAGATACCAAATGAGTCCCAGGTGACCGGCTGGCCGCTGCCGTCACTGTCAAAGCGGGCCGACCCGCTGGCCTGTCGTACGCCCACCACCCCGAACAACGCCTGCAGGGCGTTAATTCATACAGTTAGCTGAATGTTTAATATGTTCTCATCTTTGAAAAGCAGCAGTGTGTGTGGGTTTGATTTTCACTTTGTGTATATTCACCTGCCCGGAAGCTGTGGAGGTTTCTGGCGAGGAGCGTGTGGCGAGGAAGGTCTGTCTGGCGATGGTGGAGCGACCACAACGCAGCAGATTGAGCAGCACCGTAGACGACATGGCTGTCTTTAACAGCTGTGGAGGAAAACACCTGGCCGGGCAGCGGGTTTCTGAAATATAAATGTAAGACAATGTAAGGAAAGACATAAATACTAATAATAATAACACACAGGTAACAATAATAGTCCACTGAACCAACAGCAGCAAGAGTCAACTTAATAAAATACTAGTTTTTATGACAATAAGTTGTTGCATATAAGCTTGATAAATGACCTGAATGATTAATGGCACTGGAATAAAACATGTAAAATAAAAAATAAGAAGAAACAACATCCTTGCACCCAAAGGTCACCAATACTGTAATATTTTGGGGTCACTTAAGGTGTGACAGTGAAGAGGAAGAGGAGCGAGAGGAGGGGGTCAGCTGTTGGCAAGATTTATGAGTTTAATCTTTCTGGCTGACATTAACGAGGATTATCATCCTCTCTCTATCGCACCGTCCACTCCTCATCTCTGTGTCCACAAATAGCACTCAGTCTCCTGCTGTGTTTCACCAGTGTGTCGCCTCCTATCCATTACAAGCAGGACAAAAACACCAGGACCCAGGCTCTAAAAATACTGTCGCACCTCATCTGGGAAAGAGACACCTTTTTTTAAAAATAGCTGCTGACCGAAAAACCTAAAACCCCAGTTTTTATTTGAGTGCGTGTTCTAGAGCTTTTATTTTGAAGGATAGGGGAGAATTAAAG